TCCAGCATATGATCTTAGATCTCTTCAGTATTCATCTTTTTAATTTTAGTGTTATATATTATTTTTAAATACTAAATGCTCACAATTTCTTCTTTTACTGTTAAACTGAATCTCCTGTCTGTAAAGCACTGTGAACTGACACCAGTATGAAAAGTGCTCTCCAAATAAAGATACTATTATTATTATCATTATTATTCTATTATTATTATTATTATTGGCCCCTGCTGTGGGTAGAAGTAGGACAAACATGGAAGGAAAAACCCCTATTATTTAAAATCCAATTTGCTGTGTAAAAGCAGAATACATCTAGGTTCATTATAGTTCACAGAATTTTAACCCCTTAAGTCACTCTCATAACAACAGACCTTTGGCTTAACAAATTATCTTTATGGCAATTAGCAAATGATTTATAGAAGTTATTGAAAAAAACGTAATAATAATAGAACAACAAGTCTTCAAATTAAGGGGTTAAAGTATCTCTTTAAACTTTGACTTCCATGCCACTACATTCTGGGAAGGACATAAGCATCTCTAACGAAAGGATGCCGCTCTTAGAAAGTACCAAATGTCTATTATGAAGTGATAACAGCACCTCCTTTTGGAGTGAGTGAGTTACAATCCATTTTAACTACAAAATTTACATTTACATTTCATTTTCAAATGCAAACCACTTGTTAACGAAGTTGTTTGTAAATTATTCACTATGCCTTTTCTACCTTTAATGCTTTTCATAGATGGTTCCACAGTCTCCTTTCCTGATAAAGCATGCTTTGTTTATACATCATTCTGTTAGTCATGGAGTTACTCCGCAGGCATGGACAAATGCAACTATAAGTCCTAATCCTAGGCATTAGTGCTTGTTAACACAAGCTCCAAAATAATTAGTTTGTTTCACTTCTCTTATTTAATCAATAATCAATACAAATTATGGAAGGTTTGTGTTGTTATGCGAGATGTTTTTTTTTGTTTAGCGCTGTTGAATGGCTATCTTTGGGCTACTCTTTAAATTCCCCAGAAAAAAAAACAAACATTTAGTTTTATATTAACTGTTGTAAATATGGATGCTAGATGTTTTATGAGACAGGTTTTACTAATCTATATTAAAAGTCTAACTTTGCTTCTGTCACATCTATACCTGGGGATTCCCCTGCTTGCCTCCAGAGGTCACTCTTGCCTAGTACTGATCAGTTTCTATTCACTTGGAGCTCATCTCAGCTGATTTAGAAGATTTTTTGAGCCTTGCTACACTGTTTGTTTTTTGCAAAGTGAGTATTTTTTTTTACATTTTATTCATGCCATCCACAGGCATTACTGTGCTGCAAGAGTGCTTGCTCTACCAAGAATTCAAACAAAGAAAGAAAGAGCGAGGTGGATGTTACCTGATGTCAGTGGTTCATTTGATCATTTAGACGTCATCCAGAGGGCCAGCAGGTTTCATCCTCATCCAGACACGAACTACACAATCAGATAAACCAATATATTATGTAAAAAAAATAAAAACATCCTAATGTTACAAGACTCAACATGGCTAAACTTCCAAAAATGCAGTCAGTCTATGCGAAGGAAATGTTCACATTACAACAGATGACGCACTGTTTAGCATTCCTGGCGATACACGAGAAATGCTCATAAAGTGAGTGTCTGCTGCTGTTATGACAGATAGTTTTCTATTTTCACAGTTATACAGTCTTATACAAACGTTCAAACCAGCCTGGTAAAATTTCTTGATTTTCTGAGTGAAAGTAAGTTAACACATTCTCTACAGAGAACCAGCTTAAATATGACATTTCTCTTCAATTATGTTGGATTATAGAGTTTAATAGACTGGAAAAAATAAAACACAAAACAGAAAATGAGCCAGAACCACTGCACAGGCCACATTTCATATTATTTTTTTTTCCAATATGTGAAATTCATCAAATAAACAGTATTTGCATGTGCAGAAATGTAGAGGACATGTACTCATAAAAACTCAATACAATTTTTTTTTTATATGTAAATAATTTTTTATCAGTACTTTTTATTTGTCACATTAACAAAACAAGAACAAACAGACAAACAGGGGGCAACAGACAATCAAGTCAAAATATGAGAAGAAAAAAGAGAGAGAAAGTAGTGATAAATAAATAACAGTAACAATTAACAAAGGAGTATTGGCAGTCACAAGAGCATTTATCACCTTAGATGAAGAGACTGCCAGGTTTCAACAGTCACAGGTCGTGCTTGGTTGAGCTGTGCTGTTGTACATTCAGTATTGACAAATTTTAAGTAAATCTGATATCCACAATGATTACATATGAGTCCCGGGTGTAAACCAATTCTGTAAGTTGTGTTTTCTTAGCACAAGTAAAGCCAGCAAATAGCATTTTACTTTAAATTTAAACCAAGATTTAAATGGATTAGACCAGATAAAACAGAATTTACATGATTCCAAAGCTTTATGATCTCAAGACATTCCCAGAACATATGACAGATTATACAACAGTTAGTTCCGGCCACGCAAGCTGACTGGTTGAGAAATGTTCTAACCATGCTGATATTTCGCCATAACATCACAGGTTTTTCACAAACACTAAGCAATGACTTTGATAGGAGACACTCAAGCCATTTGAACGTTTTACTACTTACTTTGCCGCAAATGGAAAATGGATACTTTGAAGATTAGATTTAACCCACAGCCGATTTGGTCAGACTCTGAAGATGAGACTACACTAAATTCCCAAACTGTAACTTTATGTCTGTGTAAGGAGCTGGAGAACGAACTGCCCGCAGTGCAGCGAGTGAGCGGAGCTCGTTACTCTGACATAGAAACAAACTGCTTGTTAAGGAACTACAATTTGGTGGAAGGAACTGCTAAGTTTATTTATTTATTACTTTATTTATTTAACTGTTGTATAAAAGCAATAGAACACTCGAGGTCGGGTGTTATCACTATAACATGATGTTATTTCGCGATAACACACTCCTTCTCGTGTTCTATTGCTTAAATGTTAAAGGGTAAGCATATTACATATGTGACATGTGATGGAGTTTCATTTGAAATCTTCTATAAGGTGTTATGTTATGGTTTATACAACAGTTAGTTCTGGCCACGCAAGCTGATTGGTTGAGAAGCGTTCTAACCGTCCTGTTATTTCAACATAACATCACGTTTTTTTAACAAACACTGTATCACTCCGCTAAGACGCCGTTGCTAAGCAACGACTTTGACAGCTGTAAAAGAAGCTCAAGCCATTTGAACGTTTTTACTTCTTACTTTGCCACAAACAGAAAATGGACACTTTTAAGATTATATTTGACCCACAGCCGATTTGGTCAGACTCCATGCAGACAAGATGAGACTACACTAAATTCCCAAACTGTCTACCATTAAGATTAAGTCAAGCTGTACGCATTTTAGACTGCAGATCTATTGTCGCATGCTGTTGCTGTATGGCAACAACGAAATTTCACCACATTATATAAAATCAATATAATCTAAACTGGTTTTATTTATGAAAATGAACCTGTAACACGCTTCAAGTGTGAAAAGGGAAACCATAAACTACTGTGACATATCTGTGAGTGAATAACAGTATCAGGGAGGGTTTCTGAGCAAGCTGAGCATTTGCTTTCCATGATAAGTGGGGGGTGAGAGGGGAGGTGAGACATGGTATCACTGATTAACACTAATTTTCCACATCTGCTGGTGCACAATCACATAATCAAAAAATCTGAAGACATTTTAAAGGTGCGGCAAGAGTCATTGCATTTTAATGGAAGACTACAAGTAAATTTGAATTCTGTCTTTTAAATGATGATATAATGAATATACATGAACTGGGACATAAACTAACATGGTAAAACAATGTCAAGTTTGGTTTCATGCTGACTTTTAAATTATAAATGAGTATACACTTCAGAGTACTTAAATTGCCACATTATACTGTGTGTGTGAAAAGGACATACTATTTTACACACAAAGCTTTCTTTCAATTTCTCATAAGAAAAAAATAAGACTTTTATATTGCAGTTAAGCAAACAATGATAAATTAATTGCTGCCACATAGCAATGCAATGCAGGAAAGAGTTAAAGGGGAACTCAAAATTTTTTTCAAAATTTCTGAATAATTCAGTTCTTGAGATGTAAACAGTGTGATTCAGAGTGGTTTGGTGTGAATTGGGTTATTGGAGACTCCAGGAACCAAGGGTCACCATGACTACAACACAAATATAGCCATTTTGTTTACTATCTAAAACCTCCAGTGAACCTACACGTGTCTTCTTAGTTTTTATTTGTAATGTTGATGACGGTAAAATAGTGTAAAATCTTAAGAAAACTTTTTAGGTGACTATTCTGTCTATACATGCTTTAATTGCTGCTGCACTCAGCACTTTAACTTTAGAGCCATACTTTGCACAATGTAAAGGTTAAAGGTATGACTGTGTGTGTGTGTGTGAGTGAGTGATGGTAGGAATGCATGTTTTATTTTACATTTATTTTATTTTATTCACTACATGTAAATGTCTGTCTGGTACTGTGCACTGTGAGCTCATGTAACCAAAACCAAAATCCTTGTATGTGTAAGCATACCTGGCCAATAAAGCTTGATAAAGCTTGATTCTGATTTTCATGTAGCTCTCCACCATGAATAGAATAAAATAAGTAGATTAAAATACATTTGAAGCCAAAAAATTCTCAAAACTTTAATAAGACAATGTCTCAGGCACTAGGCAGCATATTCATAACCATTTTATGAAATCATTTTAATTAAAGGCGCTTTTAGAGGTGGACGTCTGGTTCCTATCACCATCACCGTGGACAATTCTGACTCAGTAGTAGTTTCTCTACAACGGAGCATTTCACCCCAAACCACTCTGAATAAATATGTCTACATCTCGACCATTTAACTATGTAGAACTTTAGAAAAAATCCGCGGAGTTCCCCTTTAATTAACTAAAAACCAAAATCAAAGTACTTTCTGAAGGCGTCATTCTGTTCGTGTGACGCGCATGTGCAGATTTACAAAGGAAGAAGAAGACCGCCATCTTCGTGAGGTCGAAAGGCTCAGTGGTGAGTCTGAAATCCTTCACAAATCACAATAAATCGCTAATGATCGCCTTAACAAGATGTCATGTTTTAATAAAAGCGCCGTTAAAGCTGAGAAGAGTGGCACACGGAGACGCGACACTGGCCCGACTTTAGCCAGCTTGCTAGCCAAGCCAAGCTAAGCTAAGCTAACCCATCAGCTAATCACAAAAACAAGCTCTTCTGCAGATTAATCGCGGCTGCGTTGTGAGGAATCGAGAAATCCTAATCGTATCATGTTAGCACTGGAAGAAGCAGCGGCGCTTAACCGCTCTGTCCTGCCAGTAAATAACACTTAAAAGACAATACGTGGCGCCTTTTTTATAAATAAATAAAAACAATCTTCTTCACACCGCTCCTCCTAAAGAGCATCACAGGAGCGCAACATTTACGCAAATACTTGCGCATCAGAGGCCGCCTTTTTCCAACTGCTTAAGTCTACAGCAGTCCTGTAACGTTTTTATGTCGAAAACGCAATATGAAAGCATGCAATTTTCATACCACAAGCTGCAATTTTAATTATGGCTTAACAACTTTAAGGTTGGTAGGTCTAAAAACGTGGAGCTTGTGAACTGCCTGTAGATGAATTAGACCAACCGGAAGCAACCAGAGCATCCACAAGACAACCACAACTAACAGTGGCATTCTGGCACACTGTGTTCAGCCTCAATTAGAGGTGGGTGATATGGTTAAAAAAAAAATATATATATCATGATATTTCATATTTTCATGATAAGCGATATGCATCATGATATTTAGACAAAATAGAATATGTAGTGTCACATATAAAATACTATAATAATAATGAAATAATAATAATAACTATACACTTTCAACTACCAATATTTTACAAACTGCATTGCACTAAATCCAATTAAACAGGCCTACGATATGCTCAGAAAAGTGTATTGTGACATTTATTTATCACGATAACAAGAAAATATTCATCATAGATTAGCCATATCGCCCGCCCTCAGCCTCAAGTCAGAAAAAGTGGATATGCTGGTGTTCTTGGTCCAAAAAAGCTTAAATAATCGAATATGTAGAAAATAATCACAATTTTAATTGCAATATTAATTAGGAAATTGCAATTAAATATGTTTCGTAAAACATTCAGCCCTTCTTGAAACTTACAGCAATGTAGTTGTAAGACATCAGGGAATCTTAAATAAAATACACCACAGACAGAGACTGTTCAAAAAGTCAGTGATTCCAGTGATTGTGACTGTGCTGTATTATGCCTCAGTCAAAAAACAGTCCTGGCTGAAATGCTTCTTATAACAACAATGTGAATGGGCGGGGCTAAACCACTTTAGACTAAATAGGTTAATATATCATCGCTGTCCAATGAAAAACATGTATCTCCATTTTTTTTGCGATTTTCACTTGTCTGCCTCATTTGAGCTCAGCAGCTGTCCTTTACATTGTGTGAAGATTTCGAGATGATTGGACCAATAGAAATGCTCCAGAATTGCTTAGAATAAAATCTCTTTCCATTAACTTACATTGAAAGTAAAGAACGTTTTTGCCCTCTGCTGTAAAGTTACTATTTTGGAGATACTTGTTTTTCTATAGACAGCGACGATATGTAAATGAGTGTGTTTTTATGACATCACAGAAACTGTGAATTTAGAACAGGCTGTTTTTGTAGCTTAGTTTCCATATATGGACTGTATGGACTGGGCAGTGAACAGTATGTTTTGAAACTCTTATTTTAAAAAGTGAGTAAAATTTGTTTTTCCATAATGTGTGCCTTTAAGTGTTTGTCTAGGCTAGGTCTCTCACTTCCAGCACACAAACCTATGCAGGGCAAGAAGGGCTCCATTGGTCACTTACATAAAACATCTTAATAAGACAATATTTTCAATAGTGTTATCTACATGAAATCTTATCAGAGAAATGTTTAAGTGTAAAGTGAAAAAATTTTTTTTTAATTAAGTTGATAAAGTTTGTAATAGTTGCAAAATTCAAATTGACAGAATTAAATTGATCCCTTAAGCATTTACCTTAAGAAAAATATTTATCAAGTTATATGAAAGTGACTGTGGGGTTGAAGCTGGGAAATACTGCAGTAACACTATCTTTAGTTGATTAGTTGCATTAAGTTCACAGTAAGCATATTTTCTCTAGATGCCCAGACATTGCTCCGCCGCAGGCTGCAATTCACGTGACACCAGAGATGCTCGGAAAGCTGGTCTCACTTTTCACAGGTAAGCACTAGACATCCACAAGACGGTGAGTCTGAGAACACTGTTTTGCATCATGCCTCAATGGTTATGAATTGTAATAGCAGTACTTTAAAGCGCCAAAGATTTTGTGCTTAGTAATAATGCAAAAATGTTTAATAATAACGAGAAGCATTATGAATAATGACAAACTAATCACCACATTTCTTGGTTAGGTTGCCAAAAAGGGGCAATCCTCGGCGTGCCACCTGGATTCTGAATTCTCGTCGCAAAGGTCCTGAGGGAAAAGGGCAGTGGGATCCTCAGAGTGACTACATCTATTTTTGCTCTAAACATTTCACCCCTGACAGCTTTGAACTCTCTGGAGTCAGGTCAGTACTTCAGGTCGATCGAATGTCAGTTTGATGCCCTAGGTTTATACAAAGGTCTGGAAATCTCAGCAGGGTTAGCAGTTGGGTAAGGCTTACATCCAGATGACTAGCAAGAAATAGCTGGGCTGCAACATATGAGTAAAATACCATAATGCAACTTCATTGCTGTGCATTAGCAGTTTAACTGTTTTCCCAAGCAAAGAAAATACACACACATAACAGTGCATGCATTTATAATGTACACCAAAATCTCTATTCCAGCACCAAATTCTGTCCTCGCTGCCTATTGCTTGAGGCACGTTAACTGGACTGCTGTGTTGTAATACTCTGATCCTTCATTATGTCAGTGAGGTTTAAGTCTATTGACGTAAAACAAATTCTGCATAATCAAAGTCATGTCAAGGTGTAAACAAAGTCATTCAGGTTTAATGTGACATTAATTGTTAATTGTAGAAAAACTTACCAACAGATATCTTTACAGGGGTGATGATAGGAACAAGCGGCCAAGACATCTACAACTCAAATATAGCCATTTTATTTACTATCCAATCTTAGAACTATCGGAAAAAAACATTGACATCAGGCAATGTATTCGTAATGGCAAATGTATTAGAGTTAAGTAAGGGTTGGGGCAGCTTATTGGATACAGGCTGGAATTAAACTCTGCAGGAAGGTACCTCTCCAGGACCAGCATTGGAGACCGCTCTTTAAGAGGCTTTACATTTTTTAGACTTGTCTGGTTCCGATCACCACCACTGTGGACAGACACTTACTACAGTAAGTGTCTCAAGAACAAAGCATTGCATATTGTCCATGTTGAATGACTTTGTTTACATCTTAATAATTTAAATTATTCAGAAAGTTCAAAAAAAGTAGAATTGCCTTTTAATGTCACTGAACTTGTTACCTATAGAGTGTGACAGAAATTTCAATATATAAACATAGGACAGTGATATTTTGTTTGGTAAGGGGGTAAAAAGCAACCATAACTTACTAGTTTTCTCTCACAGGTCACTCTGCTTTTGCTGTAGGGCATAACTGAAAATGAAGGTTGCTGATATTCTTTTATCTCTTCCTTCATCCCAGTGGCTATCGCAGACTGAAAGATGATGCAGTACCCACAGTGGTTGAAACCCCATCTTACCAAAGAGGCAAGACCTCCAGGGGAAGAGGCAGGCCACGAAATGTGGAAAGACAGATGAGGTATATCACACATACGTGCATGTGCTCAGGTACTCAGCATTTCAAAGAAGGTAGCAGAAAGCTTAACAAATCACTTTCACAGTATAGCTAGTGAATACAACTCAGTAGCCCTTTGCTGATCAACTCTTTGCTGAATAAACAGTTCACTTAAAAAATTGTCTTAATGGACATTTTGTTTGACTGTCATTAATTTCTCTTCAGGACAAAGAAGCGTACTGAAAATGAGGGAATGGACAGTAAGGAGGTTACAATCAACGAGGCTTTCGTACAGAATGTGACTGGTGAAGGGGAAGCTGAGAAATCCAAGACAGCCAATGGGGAACAGGGAAATGAGCAAAGCCCTCAACTTTCGTCTGAAGATGTTCAGACCAATAAGACATCACCAAATGATCAACCAACAGACGTCGTTCCCAATCCAACTTCACCACGGCCCCCTTCTCCATCCTGCTACATGAGGCGCCTCCCTCCTCCTCCTGGCTTCTACCTGGCCAAAGAGCACAACTATGCTCAGCTGTGCCCCCTAGTATGGCGCAAACGTTATGATAAAGCCATTGACAACTTAGAAAAGGCACTACGTTTGCTTAGTGCTGCCCGCCGCCGGGAAAACCGCCTACGGCTTACGCTGCTGCGCCTCCGAGAGAGCAAGCTAAAGAGCACTTTATCCCGAATTCAAGACAGCAGCCGAAGGAAGGAGGGTCAGGGAGGCCGAGGTAGGGTTTCCATCTTGGCTCCTCAGAGTGGGAAGACTGCAAGAATAGACACAAGTGGAACTCCTGAAGGACTGGAGGAGAGTGAGATAGAGGGTACAACTGAAGACATGGAGCTTTTCACTGAAGAGGGTTGGAGAAGGCCAGCGCCCACAGCAAAAGAGAGAGTACCTGTAGAAGAAGAGGACGGATGCTGTTTTTACTGTGGACGGGGTAGAGAAGATGAGGAATCAAAAGAAGTAAGGGATAGGCGAATGTCTCACAGGGCCACAGAAAGCCAAGGGGCTCTTGGAAGTCATAAACCTAAGAGAATTCAAGAGGGCAAAAGGGAGAGAGGGAAGATACCTGGTGTATTCATAGGTCGAAAGGCTGAGAGCACAAGAAATGATGCTCCTGCTGTAGAGCCAAAGGACTGTTACTTCTATTACTGTGAAAATGATGCAAGTGAGGACCAAACAAGGACTGTCTCCTTGGATTCACCTCCCCAGCAGAACGTAGATGGAGAAGCTTCTCTGGAGCTCTGTGGCAAACCACTGCAGCAACTTACCCTGCTGCACCCTCAGACTGAAATGCTCTTGCAGATGCATACGGTGCCTGGGCCTACACAACCCACAGTAACGCTACAGGAGGCAACATCTCCACTTCAGCTGCAGCAGCTTCATCTTTTGCAGCCCAGTGTGGGCCTTCAGCCAGGACTTCTCCTTCCAGACATAACAACAAGGGAAGGGAACATGTCACAAAGTGACCCAGAGGCAGGAAATCATATTTATGTGGTGCAAGAAAGAACAGACAGTCACTTGCTGCTGGTACCTGTTTCTACTGATACCAGGGAGAGTAGTGGAGTCAGTGTTGACACCGTGCTTCAGAATATAGAAACCCAATCGATATTGGTGACAGGAGAAGGCTTTCAGCAAGGACCCAGTGAAGAGGGGGATACCCTAGGTGTTGAGAGTAACCTCATGGGGTTAAGAAATACTAGGTTGAGGGACAGTCAAAATGGCAATCAGTCAAATCTGAGAGCTACAGCAGTGAGTGGAGATGTCAGGCAGAGACTGAAGGAACATCTAGAGGGGTTTCAGCTGCAGCTAAGCAGTGAATTTGTCAAGGATATGTAACAAACCTCATCATGATTTCCCATTAAACACAGCACAAACAATGAATCAAAACCAAGTTTTGTTGAGTTATTCAAGTTATTGCGTTGAGCTGTGCTTAACTCAGCTGTGTTACTGGATTGATGCCCTACTTACTAACTGTATTTTCACTTTCAAATGATGCAGCTAAGAGGATGATTTATTGACTACTAGCTATAACAGAACAGCTTACTATCATCATCATTTTAAATTTTTTATTGTTTCCAATAGTGAATTAATATAAATTCAACTGGGCAATCATTTGTTTTACCAAAAAGAGAACTAAAATGAGCAATTGTTTGGTTTTACTAGCATCATTAGAGGTTCATGGATAGGGGGCTAAGCCTGTGCTAGGCAGGTCTGGAGGCATGGCCCAAGGAGGGGCCCAGGAGACTTTTTTTTTTTTTTGTTTAATGGCTCCAAAACGTCTGCTCATCAAGAACTTTTAGAGTAGCAACAGCCAGAAAATGTCTCAGAAAATGGCTGTTTATTCACACTCGTACATAGCTCTGTCTCTGTGTAGTTTGTATTAAGCACAGGACTAAAATGACTAACTCTATATGCAACCACTAACCACAAGCTGAGATCAAGCAAAGGTACTTCAGTCAAGCAATGCTGTCTCTTCTCTTTTAAGCCAGGCATACACTGTGCGATTTTAGAAATTTCGTTCTTTGCTGACAGCTCACACAGTATGTCTGAATTGCCCACTGTGTACGGACAAAGCCTGCGACTGACATGATGACATGGGTGCTCACACTGCACATGAAACACAGCCCTTAAGCTGTTCTATTCAAAACAACACGCTGCGCCTTCAAGTCCTGAGCAAAAACATTGGCTGAATCTAAAATGGCTCCCTGCTCTCTACATAGTGCACCACATATTAAAATAGTTGCTTCTGCAGCCATAGAGTTCATCACATCTAATAAATAGCCTTTTGGGATTCAGTACGGTGGCTGACAAGACTCTATTTATAGTACAATTAAAATACTTTACAAACTCATAAACGCGCTGCAAACACAGAAAACACTTTCATCAAAATGACCAACTGAACTACATTTTACAAATGCATGCAACTGCAGAAACACTGCAAAAGCCAGTCACAACACAACGGAAAACTTTCTAAAAGGCTCAAAGGTAGGGCTGAATGATTTGGGGAAAATATCTAATTGCGATTTTTCCAACTAAAATTATAACTGAAATTTAAATTACGATTATTTTTTATAAAGTAAGATTCAGGCCTGATTTATTTTTTGCCAGTAAGTTGTAGTTGTAACTCAAACTCAAAGAGGACGGAATATCTATGATGGAAAATCGCTGGACACTTGCATCCCAAGTTCATGGTTAATCTGGCTGGCTAGTTTGCTATATGACATGTCACAGCTGTACTGTGGTAGTTCGTCTGGTATTACTATTTAAACTCTTACAGTTACACTCTACAGCTAATTCCCATTATGATACAATGATAGTCATAATCTGTTCAAATAAAAGTTAACTTACTCTTACCGGTGAATGCTTGTGCTGCATAGAATTAAAAAACAAACAAAAATAAAACATGTCTGTTGTGTTGTGGCTGGCCTATCAATGTTTCTGAAGTTGCACGTGTTCTCTTTATTCGCAGTGCGCTTGTAAAACGTGGCTCCTGTATAGTCATGTTAATTAAAATGTAACGTAATTCAGCCATGTGTGCACACTTTCACAGAGAACTTGTAGAGATAATTACCACTCTGAAATGTCTTCTGGGTTTCTCAAACACTAGAGGGCACTCCCGAGCGAGCCTAAAATGAATAGGTTAAGATGGAGCATTTGAGCAAACTCAAAGTTTATAAATGCTTAAACATTTTTAATGTACAAGGATACACTCATGTCCTGAACACTGAATAAAATAAAACATTTTAACACTGCTGTTTTATTTTTAAGAGCTTTTAAACTCTAGCTATAGGAGTTTAAAATGGCGCCTCATGTGCATATGAGCTGCTCCGCTCGCCAAACAATCAGCACTCACTAGCAGTAATGACAGCATCATGCTGCCCAAAACCTGTTTGCTGTAGAAAAAGGAAACACAGGTAAGTTTTCTTGTTTTTTTTTAGTGAAACACATCCTTCTACTTTATAAAATTAAAGGAAAGTTCTGGGCAAGTGATTAGAAACTATTCATTTTCAGCCGTTGAGCTCCTTTCTCTCCCATTCACTGAGGTCTCGCTGTTTAGGAAGTGGCCAGCCTCCTCATAAACCAGCTCTGACTTACATACTTGACAAACAGTGCACTATTTTTAGTGTAGAAGCCAGAATTTTGTGCACTACATAGGAAGTAGGTGGGCATTTAAGATTCAGCTACTGACAAACAGTCACAACAGTTTTGCTAACTTGTGCCGCACTGTGCACTGAAGCTGAAGAACAGGCGGTCTACAGACAGCTCTGCAGAGACAAATTACCATATTTATTAATACTCTGAAGTTCAGCTCAGTCAAACGGAGCAAAGTCGGCATATATACGGTATATATACGGCATATATGTCGGTGCCGCAAATGCCAACTTTTTTGCCTCAGCTGTAAGACCTGTGGCTGTGATTCTGTGTGGTTTTGGGTGCAACTTTGAGAAATCAGTTCGTGAGGCTGCTCAGGATATGAGACAAGCGACCAAAATTTCGGACATGTCAGAAATCCATCCGATCGTCTGGCCGCTCAGTCGGAGCTCGTTTGGGCAGTTAATGGGGCATCGTTTCTCCTCTCACACTGCATGGCAAACAGCACCTGAGGAAGCTGGAATTCGGTACAGGGTAAAATCCCATATTGTATGCCGGGCTTTAAGTAAGCTGCAAGGCCCTAAACTCATTATTCGAATACACAAATTACAGATCAGTTCACTCTCAGCTGATGCAATCAAAAAAAAGTGTGATTTTCCTCTGTATGCATGTTTAATAAGCTATGTGACAGAAATTAATGGTCATAGTGACAAATATTATGTTATTTACACAATTAAGTTCAATTAAATTCAGTACGAATTTTAACTAACAATTTATCTCTTCCTTGCTTTCTTCTCACTCACTAACCTCCATCAGATCTTTTCCTTTGGCCGTCAGTCTCCTTCAGTTTCTTCCTCTCCCTCTCTTCCTGTGTGAAGCATTGCATTAATTTTATTAAGCGCAGATTTACAGGAACTCAAAGAAATAATGAGATCAATGAATTATTTTTTTGTTTTAACTGGTAAAAATCCTCCCATTTGACTAGCCTCCAATTGAGCTTTTGCCTTTTAATTTCTATCTAAATGTTGAGGATTTAAAGGGTGTAAGCTGTTATGATGAACACGAGCTATATGATTTTTTCAGACATGAGCTTACTGCAAAGAATATGGCAAATACTGAAGAGAAATATAAAAAGAAACAATATATAGAGCTACCAACACATTATTTCTATCCCTCACTCGTTCACTCTCACACTCTGACAAAGAAATGAGGTGTGAAATAGCTGGCTTGTCCACTAACCGCCAGCTGGCTAATGTTAGTGTTAGCCTAACGTCTTTTCTCTGCCTCACCTAAACCCATAGTTAGCTTAGCTTAGCTAGCTAACAAGCAACCGACTAAAAACCCTGATAACCAGCTATACTGTCCATAATTTGCCAAACATCCATATTGTAGGTTGGCATCTTCACTCTTGTAACTACTTACTGTTTCACTCGGTACATTGCACATTTTGAATAAGGTCTAATAATCATTTTAATGAGCTTTTAGCGAAAATCCGTTACACAGCTTCAGCGGTCGCCGACCGACGTTAATTTGAAAAGCGAGTTCAAACCAGAGACCCGCCCCCAGGTCTAATATGATTGGCTTACAACTTAAAAGATCTGAAATGATTGGTTTATAACTTACGAGGTCTGATTTGATTGGACAAGCCGGGGGTTCCACTTTTCGTGGTACGTTAAAAAACCTCTGAGGCAGCGCTGAACTACTAATAGGCGCCCTGCTATTACAGTGTATTGAGAATGAGAATGAAATATAGATGGCGTGAACTAGTAATGCGCACTTAATTGGGAAGACCCCCCCCCCTCCCTAACTGGCTTTTTTTTGTTTGTCTTTTATTTATTTATTTATTTAATATTTAATTTAATGCTTAATTATATCTTTTTAAATCTATTGTTTTAATAATGTTTTTAATGTGTATCGTTCCACATCTTTTTTACATGTTAACGTGAATTTCTTTGTATTCTCTCATTTGTAAAGCACTTTGAATGACTACAGTGTATGAAAGGTGTTAAATAAACTCGCCGTGCTTTGCCTTATTAATTATTTAACAAACAAATGTATTCATGAAAAATATTTTGTTTGTTTGTTTGTGTGTTTGTTTTGCATCCTCCTTGATATCTCGCCCTGATTATAATTTATGTATAGGTGGTTTAATATAAAGGCGGCTTCCAAAGCCACAGCAGTCTGGCCCCGGATTGGCTGTTGACCCACACCTGTGGCCTCTTTTTCAGCCAATCAGGGGGCGCGTTGGATCTGCGTAGTGAACATCATGGTTCCCCTGCGAGTTTAAAGAAGACGCGCTTGAACAACACGAGGATTGCAGAGAGTTTCTTGATGTTGTTCAGGTAAAATAAGCACTTATCTCACCTTTATCAGGCGATGCCATGCTAACTTTTGCTGGAGGTCGTTTTTCTACCGACGTTTAGTAGTTTCACATCAGTTAAGTTTGTTTATCACTGACTTCATGTTGGAATCATATCCTTCAATGTGAATTTCCAAACAGTGCACTTATTTTTTTTTAGATTAAAACATTTTTCAGTACTTTTCCACTGGTGATTTTGCTTATAGTAGCCTACACACTTAAAAGGATGGTTCTTCAAGGGATCTTTAGTAATGGCAGTGGTTCTACATAGAACCAGGAGTTCTTAGAACCATTTTGATGACCATTTCGTGCTTAAATGGTTCTTCAGCTTGATGGAGGATGTGTTGTACATGGTTCTATATAGAACCTTTTTGAAAATGGTTCTATGTAGCACCAAAATGGTTCTTCAATTGTTACAAGCTTGACATCTTAACAATAGAAGAACCCCTTTGGTGCTATACAGAACAATTTTCAATCAGCTGAACAATTTTCAAAAAGGTTCTGTATAGAACCATAAACGATACATTGCCTGCTGAAAAAGGACCATTACAAACCATTAGGATTAAAAGCTGATGGTTTTGCTTTCTAATAGGTTTTGGCTTAATGGTTTCCCATAGAGACCACTAGTTTTCTGTAGAACACCTTTAGATCCCATTAGGAAACCAAACCATCGGATGCATTTAGAATCAGCCACTGGTCACCTGTTAAACCATTAGAATGTTTTACCTGGTGATATCAACCCATTAAAAAAGCCAAAACACATTAAAAAATAATCAAGAACCAACAGAAACACTTAATGGTTTCTGTGTCCTTTTTCTGAAGGGTTCTTTGTCAATGTGAAGCACCATTTTGCCATGCAAAGAACCCAAACCCATTTAGAACTCATAGTCTAAATAGAATAACTGCTTTACTGAATTGAATTACTGAATCCCAAATAGTTGCTTTTACTAAAGAACCCTTGAGGAACCATCTCTTTTTAAGTGTGTATGTTGGGTATGATGGGCATTCACAGTTATAGCGTTTGATTTTGAATATTTACAGTGTGCTGGTAGTGGTGATGAACTTTACTAGAACTTTATTACAGTCACAATTTAATATTTATTTAATTTAATATCAATTTAATTTAAAACAAAGTTTCCCCAAAGATAAATTCAGAGGAATATAACAGCTTAAAGCAGGGTGTCAAAGTCAGCCATATTTAAAACATGGGCCAGAGAACATCTAAAGTTTTATTTCATTTTTTTATTTTGCTGTAACCCAAACTGGCCATTCAAATATGCAAAAATTTCAGCAGTAAAATACAAGCACTTATAGTAGACCTTGAAATATTACATGGACACTTTAAATATTCAAAATGTAAATGTCCCCAGGAGCTCAGTCTTTTAAACCTACCTATTTCCATGAACTACACACCTGGCGTCCTTTCTTTGCTGTAAATTCATTCAAACTTGAGCTGATGTTCAGTGTTTATATTGGCTGAACTGCAGTTAGTGTGTTTGGTGATATGACCGGTGTGGAATTGTGTAGAATTGAGGTGTAACCGCTGTCCCGTAGACTGTTGTTGGGGTCGAAGAGTCAGAGCACATTACATTGCGGTGCATGCTGAGGACTGTAGTGCAGCACGCTATGAAACAAACATTAATAGAAAATTAAAGTAGTTTGGGGGCCTGATAGGGCCTTGTGTCTGCCTGTAAGTAATAGATTGATTTTTAAAGGGATCAATTCTTCACATATGCAATAAAAATAGACTTCACAGAAAACTTTAGGTCTGCTTTCCCTCCTGGTTTGTCATGGCAGTATAAACATCATAAAATGCTGAAAACAGAATCTTATGTCATTAGTATGCCCAACATGCCAACCCAGTCATAGTATTTTGTATGACAATAAAAAAAAATATTTAAAGGTCACCTCATTTTTTAAAGAATTAAGTTGTATGTTTAATATTCTGTGTAAATACAGTAAAAGTTCCAACACGTACTCTTCTCTGCCCAGTCCATATGGTCCATATATGGGAACTAAACTTCAAAAACAGCTCGTTTTGAACTGTGATATCACTAAAGACAGTGAATTTACCTAGATTTACTTATTCAGCCTTCAGCAGTTTAGCCCCGCCCTTTCATGCTGAAGTTATGAGTGTTTGGCTAGTCATGATAGAAAAGAGTGAGACGATCTCAAACGTTCCAGCTGTTTTTTCCCTTGAAGTCCGTAAACATTTGTGTGCTTTTATGTACTATAACATTCATTTTTACAAGACCATTTTCACACCTCTCTTCAACACTAAGAATTAGACAGGATGTTTTTACTGTGTCTTAAAGACTGATGAATGTAAATAGACTCTGTTCTGATTGGCTGCTCAGTTAAAAAGGTGTCTGTCCTGAAACACTCCTTTTAACTTCAATGTGAGTGGGCGGAACTAAACTGTTGTGGGCTGAATCGACAGATATAATGTAATTGTAATTGTAGATGTAATTGGTTTCCATGACATCACAGAAACAGTGAATTTAAAATGGGATGTTTTTGGAGCTTTGTTTCCATATGTGGACTGTTTGGATGGGGAAGTTAACAGTACCTTTAATAATGTATACATATGACATAAAACTCCTTTATTTCATAACAGCAAGTGAAATTTGGTTTTCCATAATATGAGTGGGCCGCTTTTTTCCAGTACCGTTTGGGAAATTGTTTGAGGGAGAGAGATAGAGAGAAAGAAGAATTCATTGCTTCACTTATTTGGCATTAAGAACCCTTTTTTTGGCATCAGTCCTACTGCGATTTCACTTTTTAGGACTAATTCTCAACAACAGTTAAATGAAGTGAATACACAGGCTAAGCTGAGTGGAACAGATTATTTTACGCCTGTATAAATCCACACAACAAACTTCTGTTCTATGCACAGACATAAGTATGTAATGTCCATAAGTGAAATTTAACATATTTTGCTTTCAGCCAAATTGTGATGACTGAATATATAAATAATCCTGACTTAGCCTAAATGATGTGAATTTCATGGTTATAGGATTCTGTTTCTCCTCTGTTGAGTTTTTTGCAGATTTTTTGTTGTTGCTAATTTTCCATGTGGTTTGTCTGCTGACAGCGGACTGATGAATCAGCCATGGAGAGATCGTCACCTCCTCCGAAGAAGCCTTCATGGACAGTGACGAGCTTTGGCAGCTGTGCGTCGTGCAGCTTGACATTGTGTTCTTCCTCAGGTCCTCAGCTCTTACCGTGCCTGCATGCAGTGTGCAAAGACTGCATTTCCCCGTCGAGTGAAGGTAAAGGTTGGTTAATGATGTAAATGTTGTTGCACCAACATTAATCTGTTAGCATTTAATATCCCTAGAAGTACTTCATCACATGTATTTTAAGCACAGTCCTACCATACGAGTAGTAAACAACTGAAACAGACCTGTGTGTTTTGATTACTTTTCAGTATGTAATTTGTTCTTGACCAAGCTTTAATATTTTTTCATTGGTACTCATGGCTCAGAATGTCCTTCTTGTGAGGAGAAATACGAACTCGAAGAGATCATCAGTAACTTTCACTTTGATGAGCTCTCCACAAACCCCAAAGAAAGCATTAAGGTGAGTCAATCAATCCTAATCAATCAATAAAGCATTTATTCATTCAGAGGGGTTAACCTCCTGAGACCAAGGCATCGTTTACAGTGGGGCCTCATAACGTTTACAATTAAATACAAAATATACAAAACAAGAACACTTTATTTAAGATCAATTTTAAAACAAATAAAACCAGGCAGAAATAAAATAAAATTAAGAAAACATACGCAGCTCTAATTAATCTGGTTATTTAAAAGTAGTTGATAACCTATGTAGATAAGTTATACATGTCAATGTTACAGGTTAAAATGCTATTGGCTTAAATTATTATTATTATTTTTTTTTTGTCATTGTTCAAATTTATTCTAGGGATGTCAAATGCTAAAAGGAGATCATTGTGATTGTGTTATTTTGTTGTACTTAAGACAGTTTTTTGTTTGTTTACATTTACTAGTCAGCGCACTGTATTATAGCTGTATGAGGGGACAAAATAAGCTCCATCAGGAACTATTTATCATGGTCAGTAATTTGGTAACATTACTTGGAACACAGGACCTGAACATGAAAATCACATGATTTCAGAGTGGACACTAATTTTCTCATTTTGATTACCAACGTTCACTGAAAGCGACAGTGTCTGTATGTACCACCCATTGAGTGTGTATGTCATATATACAGTCAATGAGTGTATGTCATATATATCAGATAAACGGTCAGTAGTTCAACTCCATGACTATAGCCTCTCACTCACATTCACTGGAGCTCCACCAAGCTGCTACTTTTGTTAGTTTGCTGCTGGTTGATTTACCCCTAGTTCTTCCATGAGCGGAGTCCAGTGTAGTCTGCTGAAGGTGCTGAAAGCGTCCCTTTAATAGCTGTATTTGAATGAGAGGGATTCAATTACAGATTCTATCAGAGTGATACAGTGCACTGTAGCTGGGCTTCAGCCTTCTGTACAATGCATAGGGCGGGGGGTCAAACTAGGAGAGTGTTAAAATGTGTAAGTGGCATTAATAATTAAAATGATGCAGCTAGCATCTACATAATTTATGCAAAGTTTAGTAGTTCAGTTCCAGGTTAACAAATCAACATGCTACCAAAATTATGGCAAATTTCATTTTTTGGTGTTCGTTCTCTCTCAAACTCAAGACAAACATGTAAAGCCAAAGTTTCTGTCTCTCTGTGTTCATGTAGTGTCAGGGCTGTGAGGACCCTTCAGTGACAGGCTGGTGTGTTGATTGTCAGGAGAATTTGTGCACTGGATGTGTGGCAGCTCACAAAAGAGTCAAAAGTGCACAAGAACATTATGTCCATACGATAACTCCAGGTATGTCTGAATATGCCCATGCTCATTTCTGTGAAGTTTGCCTATTCGTTTATAAATTTGCTAGAGGTGTAACGATGCATCCGTTTTCAGGTTCAGTATATTTTTAGATTCTGAGATAGAGATTCAAATGGATTTTAGATAGTGTGTTTAAAAATGCCTTGATTTTAAAGAGCTCTGTACATACTACAAACATGTATGGCTTCCGGTTTGGCATTGTTGTGGCTGCATAAGCCCCACAAAGGCCACCACCTACCGGATATGCCGCATTGCGTCACATAGCCTCCAAAAAAATGTGCACACACCAGCATCGACACTCACTTGGTATTACTGATATTTTTAGACATGTAGCACCTCGTAGACTTTGGGCTGTATTGCAGGAACATCCTAACCTTGAAATCTGTTTAGTCACCATTATGACTTCAGTTAGGGCTGAATTTAGGACAGAAGCTATAACAGAAGAACAGTTCCTAAATTCATAAACTTATCCATTAAATCCAGATAAAAACAGTATTACAGAAACATCCTCACTAGATTAAATCTCCTAAATACTGAGCAGGTTTACATGTACTCAATAATCCAATCATAACCAGATTTCTGCAGTTATCAGATTATTTAAATGGCCATGTAAACACCATACTCCGATCTATGCATGTAAACTCTTACTCTGATTTCTTTTGGATTTCTCAGTCTGCGCATGTGTGAAACAGACGGTGGCACTAGCAGTGTTGCCGCGAGACACAGCCAAACACTTGGCGCGGTGCTGAAACCAAACACGAAATGAAGGATTTAAATATTCTTCATCTTCTAGATGATGTTTGTTCATATTTTCAAGTAAAGTCGCATGATTTAAAAAAAAAAAGTCGCTGCATGAAGTTTTACAATACGTTTACATCACGTCTTCTTCTGTGAGTTTATTGACTGGTTGTAAAGCAGAAATCTGATCACTGCCTGACTCAAGTGGACATGGAGTTTCCCCTCATCTGATTACTCAAGTGCATGTAAACGTGTTGATCAGATTAATGACAATCTGATTTTCTGCAGTTATTGGATTATTGAGGGCATGTAAACACACTCACTGTCCTAACTTTTTGGATAAACCCCACTGTGGTCTAACTTCTGTTTTAACCATGCGTTTCTACCGTTAGCCGTTCTGTTGAAAATAGAATGTTATCCTTTTTGACTGTGACAGGCAGCATAACAAGTTCACCATAACTAGCATAATAGAGTTACATGAGTTCATATTGCAAAGTGGTTTCATTTTTGAGAGAGATGCTTTTTTACCCAAAATACGCTGTTTAAAAAGCCCCAGACACTGCAGGCACATTCTCCCCCATTCCTTCTTATTACCTGTAATGTCAATGAGAATGTGGCAGATAAAATAGTACAGTGATGTTGGTGAGTAATGAAGACACAGAGTTTAATGTGTGGCTGTTTATTAGGAGGAATGATGTTAGCGCAGCTCACGCGCCAGCTAAAACCTGAAATGGAAACTGAAACTGGGGAATGGCAACCCTGTTAAACAGCAGGGGGCGCAGTCACAATATTCTTACATTTTTCAAATGCCCAGTTTAACACTAACGGACAAAAATGATTACTGATCTGAAACGAGTAGTTTAGAATGTCCTAACTCAAGATACGATGCTGTATTCTGTAAGATATGTTTCCTAAATTACGATTTGCTTCTGTAAAATTAGTTGAATGTGAAAAATCTTACCTTTACCTTGTCATATATTAAAGTAGGACTAAAGATGAAGATTCTGTAATATGGCCACTGTTTAGCAGGCAGACAGTATGCAAAAGTTTGAACGCCCCTGGTCAAATTCCATGTTTTGTTGATTTTCTAAGAGTAAATAAGTTACACATCCTCTACTGAGAACACACTTCTGCACATTTTGTTGCACAATTTCTATTTGTTTGCTGAATTTAACATACTGGGAAATAAATAAAACATTAAATGTGTCCTGTGCAAAAGTTATGATATACTTTATATTTGATGTTTGTTTTTTTTTTTACCAAGAAAATTAACAAAACATATTTTTGACCACTAGTGTTCAGACTTTTACATAGAACTTTATAAATTGAAGGTTATTTATTGTCATTTCATTTGTCACATTTCTGTAGTGTCTCCAAGGCCTGTTGCTTGTCCCATCCACAAGAAGGAACTGGTCAACTGCTACTGTCTGACATGTGATCAGCTGATATGCAAACTGTGTCGACCCTTTCATCTCAGGCATTTGTATGACAGCCATTACTTTTGTTTGTTTTTTGTCATCATGTTTGCATCACTTGGAAAGTACATTAGTTCATGAAATTTTCCATTTTCTGTCCTTTTTTACCCACTTTGTCATTGTTGGTCCTTGGATACAGAACATTCCATTTAAAAGTTTCCTGAATGTGATGCACAACACATGTTTTCAGTGTAGATCACAGACCTCTCATTTTCAGGCTGCAGGATGCCCAGGAGGCAGTGGGCAGGCAGAGGAAGCAGATCCAGAGGATGGCCCAGAAAGTTCAGCAGAAGAGGCTGACTGTTCAGAAGAATCGATCTGATTTAGAGAAAAGGTTGTTAAATTAGTTTCTTCATTACTGTTAGTGCTAAAGCTATGAACGTAAATGATCATCTGCTGATCATTTTCTGCTGAACCCCACTGTTTTAGCAGGCGTAATTCTTTTGTTCATTCAGAGATCCTTAATCCTCTATCAATGAAGCAGGTTATTATCAAGTTCTTTGTCAGATGTGGGAAGGAAAACATATAAATGTGCACTGTGTAGCACCCCCAAGACTAGTAAATTCACTGCATTATAAAGTACCATTGATTTTAAGAGTAACAATTTAGCAGCGTCAGTAAATTGTAATGTGTAAAATGGGAATAACTGATTTTTCAAGCTTCTGTGAAATTCAAACCTTAAGCTGTAAAGTCATTCAAAGTGGTTTGGTGTGAAATGATTGTAGAGACTCACACACAGCCATTTTATTTACTATCCAAAACCATCAGTGAACCTACACATCTTTTGAGTTTTGGAATGTTGATGGTAATATAGTAGTAAGTCAATTTCTTTGGGCACTAATTTGCCTCCCAACGCCCTGCATGTACCTCTCAACCATGAATGGATTTTAAAAATACATTTTATGCCAAAACTGTCAAAGCTGTCGTAAAACAGAGTCTCAGACATCAAGCAGTGTATTCATAACCATTTCCTGCGAGAGCTTTTAGAGGCATCAAACTCATTAAAGGCATTCAGACGTCCGGTTCCTATTTCATTTCACACCAAACCACTCTCACACCAAACTTTGTCTCAGCCATTTAATTATGTGAAATTTTTGTATACGGTCCACTTATTGGCTCTTCTACCCTAGACTGTCAGATTTGGAGGATCTTCAAGCACGGGTAAGGCTAGAAGTGAAGGAGACGGTGGTCAGACTCTGCAATGTGATAGTCAAGAAAGCAGCCAAACTCAACAAAGAGATGAAGGTAAAACATACGCAGTGTAAACAGCTGCTTTAGTCAGTCTTGATAATATCGGCCTTTCTAATGAAACAAAGCGTCCTCAAATGCAGGTTGTTGGTATAAAGTGAATAGAGAGGTTACCATGAAGAGTCGGGAAGGCTTTGTTGATTTATAAAGTGAAAAAAGTAAACGCTACCTAATGTTCATGCACAGTTACTTCATATTTTGTTAACTAAAAAAAATAACATGGTTATTGTGGCCTGTGCAAAAGTTTGGATGCCCTACTAAATCACTATTTAGTAACACCCCTTTGGCAAATATCACAGGTTGCACACAATTTTCAAGACAAGTAGTCTTTTTGTTCTTATTTTAGGAGTTTTTTACCCACTTGTCCTTTCAGAGCACTTCTAATTCTGCAATAACCTTGTGGCATTTTGCACGCACAGCATGTTTGAGATCTAAATATAAATCTTAAAAATGTATTTTAATGAACAGTTGTTTTTACTTCTTTTTAATTCAAAAATAAACATTTTTTTTTATTATTTTGGCCAGAGGTTCATAAAACTGTGTAATATTCTCACAAGAAATGGTTTTATAAGTGTTGCTTTCCCCTTGGCTTTGTTTCAGGACCTGTGCGGGAAGGAGAGGGAGAACCTATCAGAGAGAAGGTCATTCCTTCAGAGACTGGAGGAGAAGCTCGACCATGTGTTGGCCTTCACAGATAAAGCTGTAGCTTGCCAACACCACACTGTCCTACTGTCCTGCAAAAGACAGGTAGCAAACAAAAAACATGCCTTTAGCCTTTAAAGCAAATTGTGACTTAGGACCAAAGTGAAAATAAGGATTTTGTTTTATAACTGTCATTAATGTTTTCTGTTGTCCTGCCTCATGACCAGTGTATGTCATCTACAGTTTTGGGGTTTTTGGTTTGTTTCGTTCTGTTGTTGATTCAGCTGCTTGACTGTTCTACAGTTGCTCACACATCTCATTTTGAAGGGGATCCGAAAAGAGAAGAACAGAGTCTAACACACTTCAATTCCTAGGCTGAAAGATGTACGAAGAACTTCCACTGCAGTACTTTTGAGAACATGGCCGCCAGGAGTTGTTTATTTTCATTTCTTTTGGCTAAGCCACTTGTACCGGAGTCAGTATTTTATTGAAGTAATTTTTACTTGATTAGTGCCATATGCAAATGTTTGGGTCAGATGACATGTTTTGTTAAAGTGAAGATAGATAGATAGGTAGGTAGGTAGGTAGATGGGTTGATAGTTCACTTTATTAATCCCAGAGGGAAAGTCTTCTATTGCAGCTGTACAAAGCATAGTAAAGAGCAAGGAGAAAAGTGTTGCCGTGCACTATTTTCAGATGTATAAATAGAAAGTAAAGATAAATAATAAAATATACAAAAACAATAAAACAAAAAAATAATGTTCAGTACAAAAACAAGAATAAATACTATGCGGTTGACAATGCAGTGGTGCATGTCCCCTCTAGGGAATGAACTAGTGACTATGTACTGTAAACGATAACCAGTGTTAACAGTTGTGCAATGTGACATTTATGGATGCATAAACAAAGTGTCAGTGCAATGTGCAATATTTGTGGTCAAATAAAGTGTCAGTGCAATATGGAATATGTATAAATGTATAACTAAAGTGGCAGGGCATAATAGTATGAATGGAGAGGTGTAGTAATGTCCAGTTGGTGCCCAGTGAGCCTGTCCTGGTAGTGGCTCAGTATACACATCCTTTACAGACAACACACTTCTGCACGTTTTAACACACAATTACTGTTTATTTGCTGAATTTAACTTATTGTTAAAATGTGGCCTGTGCAAATGTTAAGGTGCGTTTTTTATTTTATGTTTAATTTTTTAAACTCAGTGTTGCATGATTGTGCATAATGTCATATTTGTGTTCTCTGTAGTGAATCTGTTACTTTTTCACTTAGAAAATCAACAAAATATTTGTTATATTACATCTGACAGCGAGTGTTCAATGCTATACAACTGTTTGGGTTCTTGCCAATTTACCAGCTTAAACATATTGGATCTCTCATTTTTTCTAATTTATAAACCCCTTTATCCCTCAGGTTCACCATCAGCTTCAGGAACTGTTGGGTCAAGTGGTTTCTCCCACAGCCAGTGTAATGGAACTCTCCTTTCATACCAATGAGGACAAAGTTAAGAAAGTTCTCAAGACCTTTGGTAGGAATTCTACAAATGACGGTTACAGTCTCGCATATTCCACAGTGTTTTATAGCTAAAGTGATGCCTTTTTTTTTTAGGATGCATCATAGCCAGAGAGGTTCCATTTAGCTGCTGCAACACTGGGAACGCTCCAAGCCCATCTCCAGACCATCTCACTCCTAACTATAGCCTCAGTACACCAACTGTGACCTCTCAAAAACCCTCGGACCCTACCACCACTGTTCTTTCTTCGCTTCCCTCGGTCAGCCTGCCACAGCAAAACCCACAGGCCTCAAAAAAACACTCTGAGGGCATTCATTTTAAGAAGACCACCAGCGTTCCTGCCCCTGTTAGCTTCTCCTTTTCTTCTTCATGGAATGACATGTACTATAATTTTCCCAACCTGAAGCGAGCATGGTCTTACCACCCCTACCATCCTAGGGACCCTCCCCAGTTTGCCCAAAGTTCTGTCAAATCTATCTCGCCTCAAAATCAAATAAAGGAGCTCGTTCCATCGAGCAGAGCCACTCCACCCCAGCTTACCATGCCTGCTTTTTCATTCCTGCATGCTTCAGCACCTGTAACATCAGTATCTGTGAAAGAGACATCTGCACCCATCTCTACAGCCTCTAGCACCAAACAAACGTCTTGCGAACAAATCGGTGGTGTTTCTGTAGGAGGCCACCAAAGTAAAGGCTTCTTCAATATGGATTTGCTAGGAAGACAGCAGTTACCTCCAAGGCAGAGGACTGCTAAACTTTCTCCCTCTGAAAAAGTCACAGAAATTATTTCTAATGTTAGTCTTTTGCCTGTTGTGCAAGCCACAGATGCTTCTATGGCTCTGGCAGTGCCCTTTAGTGGCAGCCAGAAGAACACAAAGGAAAAGGAGCCCACATTTACTTTGCCTGACATACATGCTAGAGGCCTGTTAGTCAGTAAGGGCAAAGACTTCAATGGATCGAATCAAGCAGAAGACAGACAGACATCTTTTCAGACTGCCAAAGGAAGCCCATTCTATCCCTGTGACCCTCCAAATGGATCTGGAGTCGCTCTACAGAAACACAGCCCTGTTTCTGCCACTGTTGCACCATTCCTTGTGTTGAGCAGCTGTTCTGTTCACAGTCATGCACCCTCACTGCCAAATAATATGTTATCAGGAACTGTTAACCCCACAGTTTGGTCACCTGCTCTTCAGTTGCCTTTGCCCAGTTGCAAAGACAGCACTGCAGTCAGTTCACATAAGGACACCACCACAGTACAGAAATGTGAGGGGACTTTAAACATTACAGTGCCAGAAACTTCCCCGTTAATAAGTGCAACTGAGGATCTATGTTCTCTCTCAGGAGCGAATGTTAGCCTGCCAGTGGTTGAGTCCAGAGCCAGCGAAAGGAGCACACAGACGTGTGTGTTCAAGCATGAGCAAGAAAACACTGACAATAACACAATGACCATCAAAGCTGAAATAAATGACTTGCAGCTCAAAACTATGAAAAACTTTCCCCAGATGAGGCTCACTGTTAAAGAAAAATTGGAGCCCGTAGAGGAAAACCTGGCATTTACTGAGCTCAAAAAGACTTACTCCTCCACTCTGAAGGTAACAGCATGGTGGGATCTCTAGCTAATGTGTTTCTAATGGCTAAAGATGGACGTAACTATAAATTAAGAGTACACTTGTTTAGGTATGTGTACACATAGTCAGCTCCATACGTTGCTCCTTTACAGAACATTGACAATTAGTACTTAAAGGGGAATTCCACCAATTTAAAAAAGAATCAGTATGATTCAATCGTTAAGATGTACACAATGTCGTTCAGAGTGGTTTGGTGTGAAATGCTCTGTTCTGGAGAATTGTTCACTGTGGTGGTGATAGAAACCAAATGTCCACCTCTAAAAGCTCCCTCACAAAGTTAGTACATGAAGTGGTTATGATCACCTGGTCTAACAATTGAGACATTGTTTGGGGATGATTTTGCAATAATTCTTTGGCTTAAAGTTGTTGTGTTTTTTTTGTTTTTGTTTTTGTTTTTTTTTTGTTTTTTTTTTGTTTTTTTGTTTTTTTTTCTTTCCAAAGCTCATTTACAGCTGAGAGAAACTTGCAGAACTTCTAAGGCAAAAATATTTTTTTTTCTTTCAGATTTACCACTATTTTACCATCTTTATTACATCTAAAAACTCAGACACGTGTAGGTTCACTGGTTGTTTTGGTTAGTAAATAAAATGTATATATTTGTCTGGACCCCTGGTTCCTATCACCACCACTGTAAAGAAATCTGATTCCATACATTTCTCTACAATGAACCATTTCCCACCAAAACCACTCTGAATGACTGTTTGCAGCTCAATAACTGAATTATGTGGAAATTTTGAAAAATGGGTGGAATTCATCTTTAATATCTTTCCATCTCATTAGGGGGAAGATAAAGAGGGTGGCAAAACTACAAAAATCAGAGATGGTCAAGGTGAGCTGCAATGGAAATGTATTTAGTTTTTATTTATTGTTAATTCTGACTCAGGTGACCATATGGATTGTGTTTCTCCAGAATATATATATATATATATATATATATATATATATATATATATATATATATATATATATATATTATTTTGAGTCTTTAAGCTTCTTAATGTCTTGTTCCTTTGATTGTGTTCATCCATCTTGTTGCTGGTCATCCTCTTCCTCTTTTACCTTCAGTTGTTCCAAGCATAATTGTCTTTTCCAACTAATCGGCTCTTCTCAAAATTTGCCCAACATAAGAGCTTCAGTTTGGTTGTACGATACGACATGATACGATACACTGTACTGTCAGATTTCTCTGAAATTATTCTTGCATCATAACAGCTCCTACATCAAATTCCACTTATTTGTGCTGATTTATCTGTGATTACTTTAAAGAAGTGGAATTGTTGTTCATGATGCCTTCAACATACAGTCTCAATGTTACTTAGAGAAGGCTTTGGGCATTGTAACGAACAATTGGCCCTTAATCAACCAAGTCTGTACTTAAGTAAAAGAATGACTACTGTATCAAAATATTACTCAAGTGTGAGCATGGAGCCAAAATATACTTAAGTGAAAGTCAAAAAGCATTTACATTTAATATATGCAAGTAAAAAGTCAATGTTTTATCTAATCTATGAGAAGTTTTCATTGTTGGGTGGTGTTTGATTTGATGACTAATGGGTGGAACCGCACAAACATAAACCTTTTACACAATATGGATTTGATTGGGTGTTTTTAAACTATATATAAATAATTACATTGTTGCTGTTGGAACAAAACCTCAATTTTTGTCATTTTTCAGTTTTTGATGTAATTTGAAAATGTATGTTGCCCTTTACATTGTGTGTAAATTTTATGATGAATGAACTAAAAGAAACAGCCCAAAATGGCTTGGAAAGAAGTCTGGTTCTATTGACATACATTAAAAGTAAAGTAAGTTTTTTCCTTGTCCTGTAAAGTTGTGAGGTTTTGTTCCGACAGCAGCGATATGTTAAACAGAAAAATTAACCTTTGAGATTTGTAACGAGTACTTTGAAGGTCTAAACAAATGAGTAAGGAGTAAAAAGGAGTAGAATACAAGTGTTCAGTTTCAATAATAATTAAGAAAAACACAAATATTCCAAAATAATTTTATAGTAACAAAGTTGTTACTCGAGTATTTTCCACCCCTGCAAAAAACGTAGCTCGGTTTTTCTAATGGAGATTTACTAATTAATAAGAACTTCCTAAGTCTAATATTTTCATCTTTTAATTTTCTCACATTCAGGCAATCTTGTAGATCTGGAGTCACTGGGAAGGTGAGAGAGTTGGTCAAATCATAGCCAATTTTTTCGGTGTTTGTTTGTTTGTTTGTATGCTATGCAAGAATAGCATGAAAGCACACGTTTGTATGCTTTATAATATATATACACACACACACACACACACACACACACATACATATATGTATATATGTATAATTTTTTTATTTTATTTTTTTGCCATTTTGCACCAGGGATTGGCTGCCTGATGTGTCAGTCAGCCGTTTGCCTATTCCTGATTTTCCATCTTCTTTTCCTGCACCTGCTTTCCGTGTCACATGGAGCAAAGAAAGCAACAGCTTCCAGCTCAGTGTGATCAAGGAAGATGACCAGGTACTCAGCATGGACTCAGCATGGCCTTTAACCTCTTATTCACCAGGGTATATTTTGGTTTGTCCATCTGAATTTACGTGACCAAATCATAAGGCAAATTATTCAGTAACTGCATGAATTAAATGTACATTTTTATTTCATTTTTTTTTTTTTTTGTAAATGTGTTTTATGATCACACATATTGCTATATGCTTACAATTTACTGCTGAAAGCCAAAAATCTTAGATGCTCTTTGTATTATTTTATTAAAATCATTTTTACAGAGCAGATCACTGAAGAGACGCCATCTGTTTATAGTTTATAGCCCAGATTTGTGGAAAAATGGGTCGACTTTCAGTAGAAAAAAAAAAATTAGTTCAGCTTCTTTTATTATAAGGGTTTAAAATTACATCACCCATCTGTTTGACTGGAAAGAGGACAGTTACAGCTCTCATACGACCCCCACCTTTTGAATGTAGCTTATGAAATATGAAGGATATGAAGAATATGACGAAGTGCGTTTTGGAACCACCAGTGGTCTCAAGGAGTTTAAAAGGTTAAGAATTAGGTCATTTCTGTGAATCAGTTTTATTTCGCCAGAGGTCACATGAGGTGTGTGACGTAACATGCTAAACAGACCTGACAATAACATAGACTGCATAAAAATTTAATTTAGTAAAAGCGAGATAGAAATAGGAATACAAAGAGTCATTGCCATATTAGTAATGGCACTTGCCGTATTAATATTCTTAGTTTATATACAATAATAACTTCTTCAGTGTGTATTTAAATATTACAAACAATTCACCAAAAAAGGAAATTTGATATTTTATCCAATATTTTAATAATTCTGTGTACAAGAAGTCAATTTGCTGTAATTATCTAATTACACTACTTTTATCTGCCTTGATACTGGATCTTCATATTTAAATACGATGAATTTTGGATATGAATTTTATTATAAATTAATTCTCTGTGTTCCACAGCTTTCGCTGTCATTTTAGTATTATCTACAGCTTGTTCATTATTCTAGACACATCTAACATTTATTGATATCTATTTACAGCTTAGTCTTGGTAATTATCAGAAATGTTTAACGTAATGAGTATATCACTGCTGTCAGAACAAAACCTTGTATGTCCAAAATGGTAACTTACAGGAGAGGAAAAAAACATACTTTACTTTTAATGTAAGTCAAGGGAACCAGACTTTTTTTTACAAGTAATTTTGGACCGTTTCTTTTGGTCCATTCATCATGAAATTTACACACAGTATAAAGAGCAACAGGCATTTTCAGATTAGGTCAAAAACTAAAAAACGACAAAAATTGAGATACAAGTTTTTTTTCTGACAGCAGAGATATTGGAATCATTTTATGCATTTATCTGCATCCGAACCAAAATGATAGTTAAGAAAAAACCATCAGTTGTTTTCTTTTATGGAGCCAATTTCTTTTCAGTGTCCTGCACCAGATCCCATTTCTACGCCCAATTATTCAAACTCCTCTCACCCCCTGCTGGTCAGTAAGCTGCACTGCGCTGCCTGCAGGATCAGAGGGAAACTCTTCCAGTGCAACGTGTGCCAACGAGCGTTCCACAGAGAGTGTCACCTACCACCGGTCTTAGCAACTGAGTGAGTGACCCACAGCATCAGCCTTATATGCAGCCATGAGTTTAGCGAGATTTCTCAACTAGCCACTCACTGACCATTTCATTACACTGGAAATGGACCTGATTAAATAGACACTTAATGTAGATGCAAGATAGGTGAACCCAATAAAGTGGCCAGTGAGTATATGTCCAGTAGGAGAAGAGCTAGGAGACATTTCTGATTGGCCAGTCTACAACTCCTTCTTTAAAATATTTAACGTTGATAAATACAGCTTTGTGACTTTGTAACCATTGTCTGTACTGTATGTCCAAAAGTTTGTAGACACCTGCTCCTCCAGCATTCTTATGAAATCAAGGGTATTAATATGGAGTTTGTCCTCCTTTGCTGCAGTTACAGCCTCTACCGGGAAGGCTTTACACTAGATTTTGGAAACATGGCTGTGAGGATTTGATTGCATTCAGCCACAAGAGCATTAGTGAGGACACGTACTGATGTTGGGTGATCAGTTTTGGATCACTCACAATCCAGAGTGTCCCATTCTGTTGGTCAATGCTTGTCTATGGTGCTGAGTGTATCAGCAATGGGTGCACCTGAAAGTAACCAAATACATTAATTAGAGGGGCTGTCTGGACACGTTTGGGCATATGATGTAGAAACCCATTTTTTTTCATTGTTTTTGCAGTGGGGAGCAGTGGCAATGCATGCTGTGCACGGTTCTGTCCCACTCTGAAAGTGCTGAGCTCTACCCGGATTCCGATGGCCCGCCATCACAGTGTCTCAATCTGCGTGATCAGAAAGTAAGAACTTACTGTCTACACTTTTGTCCACAAGCATTAGCTAGACCTTCAAAGAGTTTAGCTGGTCTTATATTACATGCAAAGTCCAAGAACACCCTCCTAATCCAACAGTTTTAATGGTCTGTTATATTCTCCTTGGTATGACTTTGTATTCTTGTCACAATGGCTCTTTGACAGAAATGTGAGTACCTGCTGTTGTCTCTCAGCTGTAATAAGCAAAGCTCAGTGCTCTACAGGCCAGTTAAGGTAAGCATAAGATACATATACTTTAAGATCCGACATGTACACTAATAGATACACTTGAAGGAAAAGGGGAATTCCATCCATATTTTTGAATTTCAGCATAATTAAATGGTTAAGATATAAACACAGTGATGGTGATGTGCAGACATCTGAAGAGTTGAATGCTTCTAAAAGCTCCCTCACAGAAAGTTATTACATTACATGGTTATGAATATCCTGCCTGGTGTCTGTGACATTGTTTTCTGATCGTTTTAAGAATATTTTGACTTAATTTTAAATCCATTCATGGTGGAGGGGTTTGTGCAGGGTGTTATGAAGCAATATAGTCCTGAAAATTATTTCTTTAGATTTATCTCTATTTTCCCATCATCAGCATAGCATACACTAGCACTAGCATAGCATAAACTCAGACACATGTTGGTTCACTGGTGGTTTTGTAAAGTCAATAAAATGGCTATATGTATAAGAAAAACCAAAGAGTTTGTAAGTCTTACTTTCCCTTTGGAATGGTGTATCTAGGGGTAAAAGGGTAGTAACCTGGAGTATGAGGTGGATGATGGCACCTCACAGCAAACCACTTTGTTTGCATTTCAACATTGATAATGTTAAAAAGAAATCGGTGTAATTGCCTTTGAACATGATTAACACTACCATTCAAAAGTATATAATAGTTCAAAACCAGCTGGGTGCAAATAAATGCTTAAAATCATTGTATTATTCTAGTCACATGACCTACAAATTCTTCTAAATACACATTTAGAAATGTCTGTTATGAAGTAGTTTGGGAACAACAAAAAAAAGTTAAATGATAAGTAATATGCTGTAATTATCATTTTGAACCATAGCTAATCCGAATTAAACTGATAGTTAGGAAGAAAACATTAGTTGTTTCCTTTTATGAAAATTGAGAATTTCCCCATTGTGGGACTAATAAAGGATTATCTTTTATGAAACCACTTTCATTCCAGTGTACTGCATCTCTCACCCCAAGCATCTCGGACCCATGCTTTAATTCTTCACTTTAATAGCTGCTAATATTTTGGCTGTAGATTAATGTATAGTGGATAACAGGCTTTAAGATTACTAACGCTAATCTAAGCCTAACCCTAAATCTGTCACTAAACTTCAAACGAAACAACTAAATGAATGGAACTACTGTTAAACACGCTGTTAATATTATATATATATATATATATATCCTTTAAAAGAACTCTGTGCTGTTAAAGACTCAGAGTCACACAGTCAATGGGAGAATGAACAGTGTTGTGTTTAGGAGCCAGCAGTGCTCTTGACGCTGTGTAAAATGTCAATAAATGTAAATTAAAACAGAATGCAGTGATTTGCAAATCTCATAGACCCATATTTTTTTCACAGTAGAACATAGAACACGTCAGATGTTGAAAGTCAGACCATTTCATTTACATTTAATGACAAATTTTAACTCATTTAGAACTTGATGGCAGCAACACATCCCAAAAAAGTTGGGACAGGGGCAACAAAAGGCTGGAAAAGTAAGTGGTACTAATAAAAAACAGATGCAAGAGCAATTTGCAACTAACTCACATGACTGGGTATAAAAAAGAGCATTTTAGAGAGGCAGAGTCTCTCAGAAGCAAAGATGGGCAGAGGTTCACCAATCTGTGAAAAACTGCGTTTAAAAATTGTGGAATAATTTCAGAAAAACATTCTCAACATAAAATTGTGAAGACTTTGGATATCCCACCATCTACAGTACATAATATCATCAAAAGGTTCAGACAATCTGGAGAAACCCCTTTACGCAAGGGACAAGGCTGGCGGTCAATATTGGATGCCTGTGATCTGCGTTGCATACTGTCAGCAATTCACTGTTTAGCCACCAGAGGTCTCACTCTCCAGAGTACTTGCCTTGTTCTCAAATCTAACCACCTGTACCTCATTTCCTAATTAGTCACACCTTAAATACTCCTCCCAAGCAGCCAGTCAGTGCGAAGTATTGCCAATTCACTTGTGTCTGACTACTGAGCGCATGTTTGGTCTGTTTTGCTGGTATTTTGAACCTCTGCTTGATTTTGGATTCTGTTTTTGCCTTTGCCCCTTTTTGCTCTGTCTGCCTGGCTTTTTGGACTGATTTCACTGTTACTGCCCCTTTTGTCATTAAATCTGCATATGGATCCTTCTCAAGTTTCTGAGTCTGATTCGTCACATACAGGCATGATTCTGTACTGGAAATCACTGCATGGGCTCAGGAACACTTCCAGAAATCATTGTCTGTGAACACAGTTCGCCGTGTAATCCACAAATGCAAGTTAAAGCTGTGTCATGCAAAGAAGAAGCCATATGTCAACACGATCCAGAAACGCCACCATCTTCTCTGGGCCAAAGCTCATTTAAAATGGACTGAGGCAAAATGGAAAACTGCCCTGTGGTCAGATAAATCAAATTCACCAATAGCGCATCATGAAACGAAAAATCCAGCAAAAAGACCCAGGACTGTTAAGCAGCTAGAATCCAACATCAGATAAGAATGGGACAACATTCCTCTCCCTAAACTCCAGCAATTGGTCTCCTCACTTCCCAGATGTTCACAGACTGTTAAAAGAAGAGGGGATACTGCACAATGGTAGACACGGCCCTGTTGCTTTTTTTGAGATGCGTTGCTGCCATCAAGTTCTAAATGAGTTAATGTTTTTCATGAAATGGTAAAATGTCTCACTTTAAACCTCTGATATGTTTTGATGTTCTATTGTGAATAAAATATGGGTCTATGAGATTTGCAAATCATAGCTTCCCAACTGTTTTTTTTTGTGTGAATAACTGAATAACCCTTTTTTTTTTTGGTTATTTACTAATGTGTTATTCTTGTTGCTCCCAAACTGCTTGAGATATTGAGTAGAACAACTGAAATGCCTTTGTTATTATTGTATGTATGTTATTGTTGTTGTATTGTATGTAAAACAACAAAAAGTATCAATTCGACAGGTAATTCCAAACGTTTTATAGTGAACCAGTAAGTGATTAAAATCAAGTCACTATGCCGTTTTATTGCCCTCAGCTCTCCTCTCCGACTTCTCGCTACATTGACATGACTCTGGTCCGAGGCCGTCTGCTGCAGAAGCTGACCCCTCCTTATCTTACGCCTGGAGAGTTTGTTTCTGATGTGTGGCTTCTCCTCCACACGCTGCTGAATTCCTCAAAGGTACCTCATAGTGTAACACTCGTCTAGTCCTTTAGTAACACATTCACTACGTTACCCTGTTAGTTGAAGTAACCTTAACTGATCGTTAAGGCTATAATAGTTGCATTTGCTTAGCACTTGATAGCGACATACCATTAGACCAGCCACAATGACGTTTAATTGTGCATGAACACTTGTCATTCAGTGACAAACCCCCCTCCTTAGAGTTTTTAATGGGCCTGTTTCCCTGCACCATAATGTAGAGTCAACTATTCAAATTGAAATACCTGTAAAACTGTGAGTAGATCTCACTACACAGACAACAGACTCTATGATAAGCTATGATGAGCTCTCTCCGCTGGCAGTAGCGTGCACTTCTATTCATCAACATGACTACTGTATCAAAATAACAACAAACAATTACAGGCATTTTACAGCTGCTTCTGCTGAGCTTTCTCCCGCAGTCACTGTGCTGAACTGATGAAGCTGGCCACTCGAAACACCTGCTCTGCAGTTTTAAGCTCCAAATGGAAAGCTGAAAAGAAGTAAACAAATTGGGAGAGTTAGCTTTTTACTTCATTTACCTCCCCAGATTCAGTCTGGCACTTTCCAAACAGCGAGTCATTTATTCAGAGTATTATATCTTTTCCCAAGACAAGCAAGTGTTGGATTGGTTCAGTTGGTGATGATATTTAGAGCATATGTGTTTGAAGTATGGCTGGGCAGTGATAAAATTCAGTATCATAATATTTTCCCAAATATATCACGGTATCACATGACTTTTAATTTGGAATTAATAAAGTGAATAGATAAGCAATAAAAAAAACTATAAAATAAGCCACTTTAAGCAACAGGGACTGCACTGTTTTATGAGTATACTGGTGTAGACAGTGTATCACCCACCCCTGGGTTAAAGGTCCTGAGATCAGCACTAGTGCTGCTATATGATTTGTTATAATAGAACTGGAAGGTTTAGTTTAGTTAAAATTGGGCAGATATTTGTCTTTTTTTTTCGGTGTAGGTATTTTAAGTTCAGCAGGAGTCTGATTGGTTAAATTGCTCCTTGGTAATGTTCATACTGTCATATGCAAAAGTTTGAACACACCTGGTCAAATTACTTGTTCCGTACATGTAGAAATACTGACTAGTAAAAATATCTTTACTAGTGCCAGACTGCTAACTTCACTTTATTCAGTTTAGATTTAAAAGGTCGGTGGTGCAAATGGTGCTTCATTTATAGACATTAAGTGGCCCCTTTTTAATACAGTCATATGCAAATGTTTGGACACCCCGGTCAGATGTTTTATGGCCTCAAAAATGCCATTTATAAGACTGTGTCCTGTAGAGGATGTGCTAACATATTTTTAAAAAATTAACAAGATGTTTTTCACCAGAGTGTTGAAACTTTTGCATACAACTGTTTTTCATCACCTGCTGTCACAGAGCTGGTTGTTTCTTGTGGGCTGCTTATGCATTACCTGTTTTTTCTCCTCTCTCCTCTCCCTTCCTCCTCCATGGTCTCTAGGAGGTGCAGCCCGTGAAACGACTCCAGCAGTTTTTCTCTAAGGAGCTGATGAAGGTTTTTGGACAGAGCCTGCATCCCTCACTACTGAATGACCCTTTTACTGGAAACCTAGAGGAAGGCAGGGATAGTAAGACAGACGCATATAAGGCAAAGAAACCAAGTGGATTCTTGTGGAGAGACAAGATCAAGAACATTGACCTTTAGCTAAATGTCATGTTACACATTGTGACCACAGATTATTTTTCTCCCTGATTAATTTATAAATCACGTAAAGTGGGAAAAGTGTGCTTTGTGTTGTTCTTTTTCACGTTAAGAAGGAAGCTTTGTTCACAAACCACTAGTGCAGTTAATTCTGTAGTTTTGAACGCTTGATCAGTGATGTTTTACTAAAAGTCGCAGTGTTTCAATAAAGTTGCAGTGTTACTGTATATTACAGACTACTGTATTTTAGCTTCTTATATGTCTGTGTGTGTGTGTGTGTGTGCATGTGTGTGTGTGTGTGTGTGTGTGTGTGTATGTATATATATATATATATATATATATATATATATATATATATATATATATATATATATATATATATATATATATAAATATATATATATATATATATATATATATATATATATATAAATATAAATAAATAATGTGTATATATACACATTTTTTTACATTTGCTACTGTTTTACCATCACCAACATTACATATAAAACCTCAGAAGACATATAGGTTCACTGATGGTTTTAGATTCTAAACAAACTGGCTATATTTGCTTAAATCTGCTTACATCTTAACCACTGAAATAAGCAGATATTTAGCAAAATCAGTGGAGCTTCCATCTAAGAGTGTAAAAACAACCACTGGAGGGCGCAGTCGTCCAAGCATCTCCACACAATGCAGCGTTGAGGAGGTCTGATGTGGTCAACTAGTTCAGCCATGCCTTCAGAGCTGCATTGCTAATGAGCTGAGCTGTTAACGAGTTGCTAAAGGCTACATCTCATTAGTGTTCATTTCCAATTCATTCACAAACACAGTGCCTGTTGTAGGTATGCATGAGTAAGCATGATTTACAAAAATGAGTGCTTCTTTGAGTGCTTATACAGTCTTCTTACAAAAGGAGCCTGTAAAAGTGTCTTGTAGTTCTCGGAGTGCATCTATGTTCACTGTGGGTGATGTTTCTGCCGTGCTGTGTCTCAGCCTGCATGGCACTTCATTCCATCCTGGATGTTTTATTTATCATTAGTTTCTCATCAGATCCAGCAGTTTAAATAGTTTCTGTCATTATTGGTGATTTGTGATTATAATATCAGTGTTAATTATTGACAGTTTTCTCTGATGGCAGGGGCTCCACTATAGGAACACCGCTTTAGAGGAAAACTGATTCATTGCACCACAATGAAGACTTAGGGGGAATGCATTATTTGGGTAGCCCACTGTAGATGCTTATCTCGTCTGTAACTTGCATTTAACTACTCACCAAATATGTCCCTGATTCTAACGCTGCTGAGAGTTCTTAACATGTAGTTTGTATGTAATTTGAATGTATATCAATAATCTAGAGGGGGCTTTCCACTGTAGGACTGATTTTTGGAAGCTCAACCCTTAAAGTCTGTTATTCAGTAATATTATCAATACATTTTGGCTCATACACACTTAACAAGGATGGTTCTTTAGTAAAGGCAATGGTTCTATATAGACCCATAAGTTATATATAGAACTATTTTCATGTTTAAATGGTTCTTTGCATGGAAAAAAAGTTCTTCAGATTGATTGAAGATTGGATTAGAAAATGTGTCATATATAGTTCTGTACTGATCTATTTGGAAAAAGGTTCTATATAGAACTAAATAGGGTTCTTTTATTGTTATAATCGATGGTTCATGGTTCTACATAGAACCTTTATTTCTTAAATACATTTATCAAATGATTACTTCTTAATCTTTTTTTTAGCTGTAACGCTACGCTGAACACTAACACCGTCTAAATGGGTGGAAATTAAGCTAAATGTTTATTAAATTAGCTTTTTACGTGTGGCACCACATAAATGTATTCAGTCAACCTTGATCCATTGGCTAATTAAAATGAGGAAAAACATGAAAATATGAGCTACACTGTATTTCACAAAGATTTGCCTACTTTCCTGTATCTAAGGGGCATTTCTAATGGGCTGTCCTCACTTTGGCCTCAAGCTGTCCTGCTGAACCAAGAAGTGCTGTGAAATGTTGTGTGAAATGTTGTGTGAAATGTCCCCCCAGGTTCTTCGGGAGCAGTGAGAACATGAGTAAAGCAGGATAGTAGGTGCTCCTCCTCCTCATTGGTCAGAGTGAGTAAAGCCCCACCCCCTCCCTCTATAAAAGCCTCTGTTGCTCTGAGCCTGCAGTCAGTGGGAGATTTCATCTCAGACAGAAGCAGACTCTCTACAAATGGTCGTTCAAGTGACTCCACGAATTCGCCACGGCAACAAGGCAATGGAGGGAAGAGAGCAGAAAGTGGAGGCCAATATTTTGCTACTCGGAGCTGAAAACGTGGGGAAATCTGGTAGGTTTTTTTAAAATTGGGATGTTTACTAGATCAGTAATTTTTATTCTAGTTAGTCCTTAGGAACCTTCCATGTTTTCTCACCTACCTGAGCCAGTAAACAAGGCTAAAGAAGCTTGGTTACCTGGCTCAGGTGAGAGGTTTATATGGAGTATAAACATTTAGGGCTATATTTTTCTTTAATTGTAATACAGAAAACTTTGTAGCTCACTGAACTGCTTTTTCTTGCTTTTCTTTAGCACTCACAGTGCGATTCCTGACTAGAAGATTCATTGGAGAATATGGTGATATAGGTGAGTGGAGCACACCGCTGCTTGCTTTTCTCGCACTATTTCTAATTCTTTTGGAAATTGCAAGAAGGTTTATTGTGTCTGTTTGCTAAGCAGTTTGTTTTTACTTCAACAGAATCCATCTACAGCCACTCTGATAAGATTGACGGCCGTGAAATTTGCTTCAACATCTGGGACTCGCTTTGCCCACAGGTAGATAAGAGACCAGTCGGCATGTATTTGTACACATGTAAATGATTTAGACCTTCTGTTGACATAACTTTTCTGCTTATGAAGACAAGTCCAGGTTTATTGTTCAGTTATTCTTTTTAAGAATACATTTTTTAAGAATTATTATTTTTACAAACTTTGATCTACTATGCTTTATTCAGTATCTACTATGAATTATTCAGTGACTCACTCTTAACAGTAAAAGTGCCAAAAGGGTTCTTTGCATAACAACACTTGTGGTTCCCTAAAAACCTTTCAACGGATGGTTCTTTAGAGAGCCATTTTTAAAGTGAGATGTCCAAAGCTGTTTTAAAGTTTAAAGAACCTTCTCATATTGTAGCATAATAATGAAATGTTCTAAGAAGAACCTGTGAATTGGTAACACTTACACTATGGGAATGGTTCTCTTATTCTTTAAAGGGTTCGTCACACTACATGACCTTCAGACCTCCTAAACATGTCTTGGCTGATTCACTACATTTAGACCAAGGAAATGTCATTTTTCAAACTACTCCCTTAAAACCAGAGCGCGTTATTGACCGTCACGTCTCAATCTCCTGTATTGCAGAACAGCGAAGATGCTGGACAAATCAGTGACCGACAGCTGGAGTGGACGGATGGCTTCATCCTGGTCTACAGCATCTGTGACCGTGCGAGTTTTAACGTGGTTCGGAGGCAGGTCCAGCGCATCCGGCAGGCCAAGTCAAAGCTCTCGGCTCCGGTCATCATCGTAGGAAACAAGAGGGACCTGCAGCACCGACGGGCCGTGTCCAGCGAAGAAGGACGCTTACTAGCCCTCTCTGCAGACTGTGGCTTCTTCGAAATCTCTGCTGCAGAGACGTACCACGGCGTGTTGGTGGTGTTTCACGAACTGCTCGACCTCATTCGGGAGGCGAGGACGCCTAAGAAAGGAGCTGCCGGGTTCAGAGGCATCGTGAGGAGCATGTCCGCCGTGTTTGGGAGGAAACGGACTGAATAGACTGAGACTTCTCTTAAGAGAAGAGTGATCAGATACCACACTCTTAAAAATAAAGGTGCCAGATAGGTTCTTTGGAGTGATTCCATTTGGAGAACCACTTTTGGTTCCCTATAGGACCTTTCAGTGTGAGCATGGAGAACCTTTTTAAAGTTTAAGGACAATCAAGCTAATGAAAGGCTTTTCCTAGAACTGTACATCCAAGACCAAGAACCACTCAGGAACCTTTATTTTTAAGAGTGCACCTTAAGAAAATCCATATTGGACCAGGGATTTGTATGTGGGGGCATCACTGATTAGCACGAAGTGGACAATCATATTTGAATGTTCTAAGAAGGTTCAAATTCAGAGACAGCTCATAAGGTCAATAATGGTTTTGAATCTGTATGAAGGATGAGTCTCGTATGCTAATGTCTTTGAAGCTAAGCTACACCTTTTCTGAGTCATTAATACTGGCATTAACAGAGCACGCGGAAAAAACAAGGAAATCATGCTGTTTTTGTCTATGCAAAACAAAACGCCTGCCAGCTATGCCTAAAAAGAAGCAGAGTCAAATATGTATTGCCTTATACAGTCACTTCAGCTTCATTGTTGGAAGCTCGAGTCTGGCATTCATTTACATGGACCTTGAACCAATAACATCCTGGTGATCCATGACTGCCTTTGAATGTTTTAATGGACGTTCAGATCTCTAAGCTATGTTTAATGGGAAGGTCTGGTATAAATGTTTGTCAGATGCCTTGTTGTATATATTGTTAATAGTACAGAGAGGTTATGTATGATTTTTATAATAAAAGGTGAAATGAGGTTTGACCTGAGAGTCTTTCTTTCCATGCATTCCTACCTCTTAGAGTTTGTACACTTAATTTACTGTATTATGCCACAGCAAGGCTGGATACCACTTTGCTGTCTTTTTTTTTTTTTCTCAGTTTCTTCCAATTTCCTTACTGTTAATTTTCATATTGCACTACAGCATCTGGTTTTAGGCTATTAAGGATAGCATAGTCACGTCTCAAAGACCATACAGGTCCTGCTGTTTCTTGATGCAGCAAAACTACGCCACCATTGCTTAACGCCACAAGCATGTGCACATGTGTTTTGACTCACATGCCATGCTAAAAAAAACAAATGTGCCATATGAATGCATAAGATCTCAAAGTTATATAGTCATCTCCATAATTACTGACCTTCATTAAAATGAGCAAAAATCAATATGTTACATTAACCACACATGCAATGAGTGACATTTTGGGCTTAAACAAATGGCTAAGTTGCATGTTTTTATTTTTTGGCATCCCATTCTAAATCCATAGGCATTAATATGGAGTTGGTTCCCCTTTGCAGCTATAACTGCTTCCACTCTTCTGGGAAGCGTCTACAAGATGTTGGAGAGTGTCTGTGGGAATTTTCACCCATTCATCCAGAAGAGCACTTGTGAGGTCAGACACTGATGTTGGACGAGAGGGCCTGGCTCACAATCTCCGTTCTAGTTCATCCCAAAGTCATGCCTTTATGGACCTTGCTTTGTACACTGGGGTTCAGTCATGCTGGAAAAGAAAAGGGTCAAAACTGTTTCCACAAACTGTTTCCACAAAGCTTCCCCTTCACTGGAACTAAGGGTTCTAGACCAACCCCTAAAAACAACCCCATAGCATCATCCCTCCTCCACCAAACTTTACAGTTTGATTTCATACACCTGTGACAATGAGACTGAATGAAACACCTGAATTCAGTGGTTAGGAGGTGTATCCTAATATTTTTGTCCAAATAGTGTACTATAAGCTGGTTATCTAGCTAAGCTGGTCTAAGACCAACTTTTGCTCATAACTGGTTTCAAAGTCTAAGCTGGTCCTTAACAGTGGAGGTGGTTGACAAGCTGGACATCCAGCTAGACTAGGCAAAAACTCGTCCTGTGCCTGTCAGCCCTCTGGTTTAGCTGGTTGACTAGCATATGCTATGTTTTGAGTTTGATTGTTTTGCTGGTCCTGCAGGTAGACCAGGTAAGTCATCAAACTCAAATGAGAACATACACTATGCAGGCCAAGCTGTTTTTTCAGCCTCTGACAGCAGAACACTTTCACTTCTGAGACTGCAATCACAGTGCCATTCTCAGTGGGACTCGTGGTCAAGTATGCACATCTATGTGGATGTTACTGGACATTGTTGAAAGGCCCTTGACATTTTTGCGCAGTCCAGCCTCACATGCAGTGCCACAGCATGTGGAATGTTCTAGAGGAATCTGGCTCGGCATGTCTTTTTGTGTATACATAGAGCTTAAGTGCCCTTATTGTGATTCATCGAGATAGAACCGGACCTCAGAATTAACCTCCCACACAGAGCGAGAGAGATAGAGAGAGAGAGCAGAATCCTCTGGGCAATACCCCCAACTGAGTAGGCGTTTGGCGCGGAGGCGGTCGCCACGGCGATGTCCGCGGAAACCCTTGTTGCTATGCGTAACTAAGCATCCTTCGTCATCCATTGTGACATCACAGGATCCTCCATCCAAAGGCAGCCACAGTGACACATACATACAAACACATACTGTCCACATTCCTCCTACCTGCACTTCGTCCACTCCACGTGGACATAATGACTTAACGCTCTCTGCCGAGGCCAAAATGACAGACGTCACTGCTGGGATCTACAATCAACTGTCATCTTGTTCCATTAACTGCACTGGACTTTTTGCATGTGTGTGTTAGCTAAGCAGGAGCTGGCCTGACCCAGCGGTTCAGTATTCACACTAAATCATTGTTCCTGGGACATACCGCAGAAACAACGCTCGCCCAGTTTTCCCCTTAAATGAACGGAGTGGAGAAGCTGTTTCCATGGTGAGAGGGAGGCCCTCATTAAGAACAGAAATGTCAGGCTCATTATTTGTCTTCACGGCTCACGGAGCAGAACTGTTGTGTCTTCTCTCTTTATTTCATGAACAGCAAGGACCCTGATGCACACTGCCTCTCTCTGTCTGTGTGTCCCTCTCTCGCTCACCTTTCTTAATTTGGAAAGTTAAGGAGGACCCTGGGACCCTGACAATGAGATGACTCATGAACAGGGAGCTTCATGGGAATACTGTGCACTAATTTTGTGACTAATTTTGATATACAATGTTTTAACACCCCCAGTCAAATCATATGTTGTTGTTGATTTGTTGTTGTTTTGATGTAAGTGTAAATAAGTTAACACACCCTCAGCAGAGAACACACTTCTGCACATTTTAATGCACAGTTTCTATTTAATTGCTGGGTTTAACATGTTGGGAAGAAAAACATAAAATATAATATGTGCCATCACAGGCCATATTTTATGTTTTTCTCCCATGTGTAAAATTCAGTAAATAAACAGTAATTGTGCATTAAAATGTAAATATGTGTGTTCTCTGCAGAGAATATGTTCACTTATTTACACTTACATCAAAAACATGAAATTTGACCAAGGGCGAAGATTTTACATACGGCTGCAGTTTATGGATGGCTAACTGCAGGGAAAAACAAAAATGGGCTTTTTTTCTTCTTCAGTATCAACATATTTACACATAACAACATAATACATTTTCTAAAGCGTTTTACAAAATAAGAACAATAAAAACAAGAGTTAGCCTTGGCATTTTGGGCAGCACCTAAAGAAGTAATCAGTTAAAAGAAAAATAAATTGAAATGTTCAACATACAGAAAAAAAGTTCACTGAGTGTCTAAACCTTTGACATTTTTGAACCCTGGCCAGCTGGAACATTTTGCCGAGAAATCAGTTGGTCACCCCAACACATTCATGATCTCACACATAAAACTGCATGTCAAAGGTTTGGGGACATTTCATCTTGTTTAGAAATTTAACATTTTCTTGCTGTTACTTTTCAATTATGAAAATAAAACCCTGCAAACATTTTGTTAGTGTAACTGTTTTACCATCACTGCTTATCTCTGTCAACATGGAGATCTGATAGCACAGAAACCAGGAACACTGAGACACTTCCATTCAGGATGATGTAGAACCTGAAGGTAAAGCCTGCGTGCCCATATCATGGAAAAAATATTTTTCCTGTAAAAGACAGTTTGGTGTAGTGTGTTTCTAAACATACTGATCACTCCTAAGTCCATATGGTCCTATAGCCTATATGTAAATCAGACAGTCCTTTTTGAAATAGCTGTTTTTGTGATGTCACAAAAAACAACACATTTACACATATCTCATATAACTGCCTATTCAGCCAACAGCACTTCTACTCCTCCTATTCACTGTACCCTCACAACCCTTGTGTGGTGTTCGTGTCTGTGGGACCCGTATTCAATGTTTACCAAAAGAAAAAATATGTGATTTATTATTATTTCAACCTCTGATTTCTTGGCCTTTACTAATTTTCTGTGAAGATCATATAAAATACCACATTTTCAGTGTCTTCACTCTGTTCACCCCCCACACATTTATATTACACATGTGGTGTTGGGTGAATAAAAGTGTGGAGGTGCTGTGTCCTTCCCTCTGTTCTCCTCCTACATGGCCTGCTGTCAGTGTGTGTGTGTGTGTGTGTGTGTGTATGTGTTTGTATATGTGTGTGTGTGTGTGTGTGTGTGTGTGTGTGTGTGTGTGAGAGGGTGGACAGCATGGACAGGCTGCTGACTGGCTACAGCTGCTAAAGGAGAACCCTATACTGGACACGTGATATTTTAAACATCTGGTCTTTTTACATAAATTGTTATGGCTGTATCGATTTATAAAACAATAATGCGGTGGGTCCACCAGACCACTGAGTAACAAACACATCAACACTACACAAGGGTTCTGACGTATGCAAAGTTCTAATGTTTCACCCTTCAGTTTTATGTTCATCAGATCTTTGCCGTGGAGAGAAGTTTATGCCTAAATAATGATTCGACAGTTTTCTTTGTTGAAGGTTCTATAAACAACATTTTAAACATTAATATAGCAGCAAACAACGATTTTACTCAGTAAAGACATAGTGGAGAAACGGCGTGATGAGAAGTGAATGAAGCCATGCCCCCCCTGTGTGTGTGTAATCAGAGAATCTCTGTTTTATTTTCATACCTGGTCCGGCTACGTGTGCATGTTAGTCCCGCCCTGTAAAACATTGACACTCTCTATGTTTTGATTTACCCTCCCTAGACAGTGACTGCCCACACAGCATTGTGCATGCACCACTTAAGGTGGAATGGGAAAATTCGAACAAGTAGCTGAGGCGCCAGAATGCAGTCTAGCTGCTGCACCTTTTAAGGTGGAACAGGAAAATTCGAACAAGAAGCTGAGGCACCAGAATGTTGTCTAGCTGCTGCCCCTTTTAAGGTGGAACGGGAAAATTCGAACAAGAAGCTGAGGCCCCAGAATATAGTCTAGCTGCTGCCCCTTTTAAGGTGGAACGGGAAAATTTGAACAAGAAGCTGAGATGCCAGAATGTAGTCTAGCTGCTGCCCCTTTTAAGGTGGAACGGGAAAGGTGGAACCAATAGTTTGGTATTGTTTTGTCCTGTTTGCTGTTGTTTGTGATAGCAGCTGGTTAACTTCACAGCAGCAAATGTAGCGATAGTTTGCTAACCCACAACCTAGCTAACATTAGCCACAGTACTTGCTAAGTCATTGTTCGCTCTATTGTTATATCATGGTATTAGTCTGTGCAACGTTTACGAAGAGTTTTATGGCCACAGAGGTCACGTCAACAATGCACAATGGGAGGCGGAGCTTGTGAAGGAGCACTGAAGGGAGTGGCGTATTTGTTTCATTGTCGAGTTTTAATATCAAGAATTGTTCTCTAGAATCATATAATGCGCCTTTAAACTATTGTTACACCTGTAAGCT